CTAGGCTCACTGTGTATTGTTTTTAAAAACCTGCAGAAAACCATTGTCATTACGGTGAGCTTCTGTTATTGTTGTCTTTGTTCGGATGTTGTTAGAGGTTCTTTGGGTTTTGTATAGAAATGTTTGTTCTTTCTAATACTTCAGTATTTGGATTTTACGGCAATGAAAAGGCACAGCCTCAATAACGCCTAGCCGCTGGTGTAAGAAGACAAAGGCCACCAAGAATTGCTGTAATTAACGAAAGCTAAAGTAATATTACCGCGTTCGTAATAGCTAAGGGTTTTAAGCGCATATTCTAATTTCGTAAGTACAGTGTCCTCTACAATAATAAAAACGACACAGTTCATCTCACAGGCCTCCAAGTGAACATTTTTATTAGGTTTTATGAAACGAGCGGATGTCTTGTGTCTCGTAAATTAAATGGTTTTTTTTTTCTTGTGGGATATGTTTACGTACAGACGGCTACACTGGCCAGATAACAACTAGGCCTACTACTAATTAATATTTATAGTACAGAAGACTTTTGTGGTCGGCTGAGCAAGTAGTTCTGTGCATTGAACTCGTAGTTTTTAATTGTCCCGCCAGAATAAAAAAAAGGTTTCCAGTGCCCCAGTAACCTACCTTTTACCATGTTTTAGTGAAGACAGAACTGGACATCTCAATACAGAACTGGAAGAGAGGAGTTCGCGAGACCGTTTTCAGTTGGGGCCAAAATTCCCATCACGCAGTGTCTGGTCTCATGGATATGATTGGTTTATGTTTGGCGAACACTGTTTTCCACTAGACTGTCAAAATGACATGGTAAAGTACTTAAAAGGTTGCGAAAAAAATAATTATAAAATCTTAGTTACCGTAAGTTGCATGACCGTCAAAGTTGCAACTACATTCTAGAATAAAAGTAAAACTCCTTTCTGTACTTTTAAAGATGTTTGAATTCATATGGTTTTATTTAAATATTGTACCGTACTTTCTCTGCAGAACTCCGAAAAAATTGTACATTACACACTAAGTAATACACATATTCAGTAATAAACATATTCAGTTTCGCTCGTATCATATTCAGTTAATTTAAACTCAGAGCGTTTTATGAATATTTATTTAAAAAAATCACTCGTTTCGTGGAATCTGATTGGTGGATTTATTGAATATCTTATTTTGTTTGAAGGAGATTCTGGATAAAGTCACATGAGCAGATGACTTACTTATGTGCGGTGGAAGTCATTTTGATTATCCCGCTGTCAGGAGGACGCAGCCTAAGTAACCATTTATATCTTCATTTGGCCACTTGCTGGAGACAGCAGGGTAGACCTGAGCTTCCCTTGCTGGGGTTGATGCTGCCCTAGGAGAGCTTGTGACTCTAACCAGTTGTAACTTAATGGGTTTGATATGTTCACTTTTAGCGTGAGTAAGCCTAGAGGGTGCCAGCGATGTGTTGTTGTTTAGTTACAACCGAAGCCAATAAATGAATATTGGAATAATCTTCATCAGTTGCTGTTGGGATAACCAATTGCTAGTTTATGCCGGGAGCAGTTTGCAACTTAAGATGAGGTTGATTGGTTGGTGGTGATGGGAGCAGCTAGGCGCTAGTGGTAGGTTGGTGTTGTTAGGAGCAGCTAGTTTGCTAATGTTTGGTTGGTGTTGAGGCTGTCAGTGGGTGGTGGGCAGACATAAGTGGGGGGCAGTGGGTGGGTTGTGAGGGAGGATGGCCGACATCCGTGAGAGGACACTTGTACTACCACAAGCGAGTGTCTGGTGGCTGGGTGCCTCAACACCCCGGCCAGGCTGTAGTGACTCACACATCCAGCGTCCGTCACCAGTAATTGTTTCTTGTTATGAACAAATGCGTCAGCGTCAAGAACCGAATCATTTTGGTTGGAGGAAATTGTTTCTAGCTATTTGTGTTGAAAACGTAGAGTTAATAGAAGCAACATTTTGACCGCAGCTGTTTCTTATGAAACAAAGACTCAACATCCATGATCCAATTGTTTGTTGACCTTCGGTTCTTGTAACAATGTGAAGTAGTAGCACGAACGTTTTAGAGAGGACACAGAGAGCCACAGCTTCGTTTATTTCCCGTGTGTAAATATTCACAAAACGTATAAAAACAACACCAACGTCCACACCCAGCTTATTGTTAGCGTATTATACGACACTAAAAAACTCAAGGACGCACCAATCAATTTCTCGCTTTATATCCTAGAAGTAAGAATACAAACTGTGCAATGTTTTGTGATCGCGTTGTGTTGTGCAGATAACCGCTTACTCGTGTGCTGTGTTGACATTTTGACCCCCACAAACAAAGTTAAGAGCTAAACAGACACCATAATCCATCTGTGTGCGTATTATATGGCTTGCAAGGACGTCAAGAAGAACGGGATTTCCTGTTTACGCTGTTGTGGAGTCACCGCTTCTCACGCACGTTCTTTTCACCAGGGGACAACTTTAAACTTGTTAATAATGGTCGGCGCATGGAAGAGGTTGCAAACGACATATGTAGTCAGCAATTTGTAATATGTACTGCGCTTCAACAATTATGGTCTTGTAAGTTTAAGAGTTAAGCTAAGCATTTCTGGTTCTTATTGTATTTTGGTACATACAGAACAAATATAGCTTGTAATACCAGTGTACACCGTTTACCACTACATTAGCTAATGAAACTCGAAGCTGACTTTCATAAAAACAAAACAAAAATATAACTGGATAAACGTTAAAGGCATCAAATAATCTGGCTGTGTAAAACCATCCCGTTTCTTGGCCGAGTTATACAGGAAATGGTGCGGACTCCAGCCCAGGTCAAAATACAAGGTCGTCATAATGTTTTTATGTGCCTCGTAAATTTTTATTCAGTTCAGTATAATGTATTTTTAACTTGTTGTATGTCATTGCCCGCCACCTTGTTTTTTCTTAAAATTTATGCTTCATTTTGATACTCTTTGAACCTGGTTTTTGTTTGTTTTTTCTTCATAATTATTATTTAATGTATAAATATAGCTTTGTTTCTTTGTCAACAAATAATGAGAACTTTAATTTGTAGACACTTATACAGTAATTTTGAAAAGGGGTTAAATGCACTGTACGTAAGTTATCAATGGGTTCCTATGTAACATGGCTCTGTGTGTATGTGTGTGTAAGAACAGGTCAAATTACATAAGTGCTTCAAAACAAAATTTACGACTGCTCCATAATGAGAAAATTGTCGTGGTACAATAATGCGACACAACACATCTCAGTATCTTTGATGGCCAATGAGATTGTTTCTAGTAGATTGAACTTTGACGTAAGGTGGGTGGAGGAACCAGTGACCAACCATAAGTCGATTGATGATTGATGTATAATAAGCCAATGACATACCAGAGTTATAGATTTAGCCAATAAATTGAAAGGGAGCGTTGTCAGTAAGTCTAAGAACGCCCAACAAAGACTACAGTTTAGTGTAGCATATAAGGCGATGTCAGCTATACTCCTTCACCCTCACTATCTCCTTCCCTCCATCAAATCCTCCAACACTAAAGACGAAATTATAATATTTGTTGAGTCTAGTTAAATAAATGGTAACGTAGTGAAGGAAGTGAGAGAAATGAAGCGGGAATAATATATATGCATAAAATAAATAACGAGAATATGTACACAGGAAAAGGGAAGAGAGGTATAGAGAATTAGAAACATTAAAATTAAAGAAACGAAGCATAGCGTAATAATGAAATAAATGAATGAAGAGTTGATAATATATGGTAACTGAAGTGATATTGAGATTGACAAAAATAAATTAAATGAAAGAAAGAATATAGAAATAAATGAGTAAAAAATATTCATGATTATTACACAACACTACCACTCATTTACACAGGAACCACTGAATATTTTTACATCAATTTGGCACAGGTGTAAGGGGTAATTGAGAGACCAGGCGTACTGTACTGTATTAGGGGTGAAAAGGGTCGTTCAGTACAATCCTGTAATTAGTAGAAACCCGCCTTTGTGCTGTTCTAGTTGAGTACCCCCTTCTAGGATGAGTGGACGAAAGTGCACAACAAAGGGTTTTTGAATTAGATGGCAATTGCTGTTTGTTGGAAACTGAAAGTGTGGTTGTGAAAGTTTTCTTATCTGATTTTATAAAAAAAAAATCGCCGAATTATTGAAAATAAAAAGTTGCCTGAATTTTTTCCCCGATTACTCGAGTTGAAAGGATTTTTTTTAATATTTTGATTCTTTGATCGTTGAAAAAGTAATACACCCCAAAAATTTTCCCGGGTTGCAATAATCATGGTGTTTCGCTACAAATATTTAAAATAGGTGTAGCTATGTTATCAGTGTAAAGACAATAATTGTAATAAAAAGTTATGAGAATAATAATAATAATAAATTTTTCTACAGAATATGTAATCGTTACACACACACACACACACATACTGTATATATATATATATATATATATATATATATATATATATATATATATATATATATATATATATATATATAGTCATTGTTAGCCCACTCGGGCATAGGTCACTGACCCACATCGGGGTCTGGGGGGCGAAAATATTATGATAATAATTATAATAATAATAATAATTCATAGTAAATAAATTTTACAATAAAAAATAAATAAAAAATTGAAATTAAAATAATAAATTAATAATGATAATAATGATAATAATAATATGTAATAAAAAATAAAAAATAAATAAAAAATTGAAATTAAAATAATAAATTAATAATGATAATAATGGTAAGAGAAACAATTGAGACCCTGCAATTGTGTGTAAATGAGGCAGAAAGTCAGATCAGCAACCTGGGACTTGGTCACAATTTTTGTGGTGCCATATGGCAGCAGGGTCTACCATAGACAACACATTATGCTTCCAATATCTTCCCAGGCGGTAGTACCTCCCTGTTTGGTAGCTGCCTATGTACTACCTACTCGGTACAGTTGTTAATGTAAGTTCTGCTGTTGTTGAGTATTATGTTGTGTTAAGTGTTATTTTTGTTCGTTGCAGGTGTATTGGTGATGGCGTGAGTGTGAGCAACACCACAGCAGCAGCGGCGGCAAGTAGGGTGGAGCGAGGAGGATGGCGGGCGGAGTGTGGTCGGTGGTGTGGGCGGCGGCGGTGGGCGTGGTGATCGGGTCCTCCACAGTCATGGCGCTCACCGGCCCTAACGTCTGCACTAAGTATGAAACGTAAGTACCCTGATTTACAGCCCGGCAACCATGGCAGCTTGCTGAGGGGCTCACAGTTAACATATTATTTTTAGCTTATGTGAAACAACAAGAAATAGGTATGAGTGAAAGGGCACAAGAAAACACATTTATACTGCAGTTTGTCTATACACCTGCAAATCGGTGTTAGGCCTATTTTAAACCCTTGAAAATTTAAACTTAAATTTTGGAGTATGGGAGAGATATATTCCTTGTTGGCCTAGATTTTTGTGAATGGCTTAAGTTAGCATGGGTTATTTTTAGGACCATAGACGTTATAAATGCATTTTTTACGCATGTTAAATACACAGATTCTAAAAACAGCATCATACTCATTTTGTACGCCTGATAATTATGACCCCTTAATTAAGCGAACGCAATTGATGTATTGTAAAACTCTGCCTCACTTGAGATCTACGAACCACAGGTTTTATTCACAGGAAAATTAATATCCTTGCATATAATTATATTTCGTACGCGAATTTTATGAAAAAGAAAATACAAAATTGTAAATTGCAAATGTGCTTGTTCATGCTTTTTTTTAAGAAATACAAAAGTGATAGAATATACAGTAGTTATCTTTGTACGACATGAGGGCCTATCGAGTACACTTTAGTTGGTTATCTTTGTTTTCGTAATTCTAGTATGATAACGAGATTATAAACAAAAACGTTAAGGCAGTGGCCGTGGCTGCGTAATAAAGATCGGTATGAAAGGGATCCATATATGACCGCATTAACGAAACTAATATCAGTACTGTCAGTAGGCTACAGTATTTGTGTCAGTAGTGTTATTTGCGCCATACGCGAGTCGTTTAAGTTTGTTGATCAAGGAACTATTAAACGTGAAGGTTTATTAAAGCTTCTTAAATTAGCTATGAAGGATAAGCGATCTTTTCATTTCAAACAAATACTCGAAGTGGCACCAAATAATAATGAGAAGGTTGCGTGCCAGTCTTTGTATCCTAGAGAAGGATGGCTCACTTTGTTAATTTTTTTGCTCCGCGACGGTGGCGACGCCAAGCGGCTGGGGAGTGACAAACACATTAATCCCTTTGCTCTTTATATGATATTGTGCGATAGTACCAGATTATTTAATACAAACAATTTATATATAGTCTGTCGGTTATTGACATAAAACTTTGGATATCTCTGGATAATTTCTCAAAGTAACATATTGATTAATTTATGTTGATTATTTTGCAGTGGAAGATAATTATTTGCCTATTCACGGGAACTTTTCCCTTCGGTTCTTTCAGTAAGAGCTTTGGCGATAGCTACAGATTTACACTATTTGGTCTTCGATTTCATATATATATATATATATATATATATATATATATATATATATATATATATATATATATATGAAATCGTTAGGTTTGGATCATTGGTTCTGTTTTGAGTGTTTCTCCCTACTGTTTGGTTTAGTAAGGAATTCATGAATTTGCCCAAGAAATTAATATGAAATCCATTCAAAATACATCGAAATATACTGGAAAAACTTATAATTGCGTCCAAAAAGTCGTGGCTGGTCCTAAAACGAATAATGACCCAAAACTTCAAAGTTCCAGCCTATATTTTCGAGAATACAACAGTATCCTGCATATCTTATATATTCTAATGTTGCTGTGACGTTAAATAGCGATTCTGAAGAGTGGAAAGTTATCAGTACTATATGCATTAAATAAAGAAAGAGCTCATATAAACTAATGAATAGTCAACATTTACAAAAATAGGTGTAAAACTCCCCTCTTTATCTCTAGGAAATCGAAAGAAAGGTTTCTATTCCTTGAGGAATTACTAGATAAATTAATTGCTGCACAGTACCTCATTACAGCTGCTATAAAGAAATGTACAAAACAAAAGAAAATAATTTCGCCCAAATTTTCATCTCCCCCCCCTTAATTCCTTGTCCGGTAATTATTTAGTTTACTCCCTAGCCGCTTGGCGGCGCCACTTGGGCGGTTAACGCCTTTGTCATAGGAGTGGGCCATCCTTCTCTAGTTTGAGAATCCTTGATCTTAGTCCCCTATCCCGGACATTCACGCCACCTGATGGATGTAAAGGAATGATGCCTGTAAGATTGGTCTGTCTCTTTTAGACTGATGCAACATTATTCATTGGTCTTAAATGTTTAGCTGTTTAATACTCATTCGCGCAGATCTTAGCAAATTATTGGTTGTCCTTGTTTAATTGATTCTACAAAGGTTAATCCTTCATCTGCGAAGAAATGTGATTCCTGCAGTTAATTAGCCCTTCTTCAACTAAGACTTGTGCCAGAATTTATGTAATGTTTGTGCAAGATGAAAGTGAAAGCACAGGTACACAGGAGTAACCGCAGGGGGGGATCAATAGGTGACGCAAACAATGATCTGGCCGCGTCCTGCTCATAAATCAAACTCGACTAAAGCGCAAACGACTTATACCGGAAGCCACTTGAAAGGGTAAAAATAGTAGAAGTGTCGCTTTTATGTGTGTTTGGGGTGGACTGAGGAGGGGGACTACATTTTTCCCTCTTCCTGTTTACACCCGACTCTATATGGTTTAAGAAGTCCGGGGACCCGTATATTCTTCCGTCTGGCAGAGCTCCCAGTCTTAGCTGTCGGTTTTGAGTTTAGTGGTTTTCCCCCTTTCGTCTCTTCTAATGTGTGTCATCAAGTAACTCTTTTGTTCGTGTTTATATAATATCCCAACAGTTTTACGTGGCAAAAGGAATTTAGGAGGTTAATATTTCGTAGTTACCATGTACGGAACTTTATATTGATTCTTATATAAAGAGATAGAGTAAAAATTATAAATAAAATACATTTTTGCGTATTTTTTCTCCACAATTTCTTTAAGTGAAATCGAGAAAAAACTCGCTTTAAATTTCCGACGAAAACGCTATAAGGTATTTTTTTTCTCTTATGCTCTCTTTCGTCTCTAAATAAGAATCAATATAAAGTTCCGTGCATGGACACTACGAAATATTTACCATTTATGATATACATTACAACGAACCCATACTAAAACTGCCTATAAACAGTAAAAAAATTTCTCATCCCGATTTCCCAATTGTTATGAGATATTTTTCTTGTGTATTTTGGTGTTCTAACGTAACCTAAAAACGAATATTAACTCTATAAACTCCTAAAGCATAAACAAAAAACCGTACACGACTACATTTTCATCAGTTTCCATAGCAGAATTCTTATAAAACATTCAACAAGGGTCGTAGAACGTAACTTTAATTGGCACAACAGTAAAAGAAGCTAGTCACTAAATAAAGAGCGATTGTTCAAAATCATTAGATGAACACTGCCATGTGACAGCGGAATGTGTTGTGACGTCACGGGCGGCTTGCCACAGCCACTCCACAGCTCCCACAGCCACTCCACAGCTCCCACAGCCACGTAACCCTCCAATATTTCCCTCCGCCGTGGTGGTGGTTGTGAAACACTGGTGCCTCTCCTCTCACCTGAAGTATTTCCTGTCCAACTTTATTAACAGTTACAAGGAATTATATGACAATTTTATAATGTATAATTAATTATATTATATTTATTTGAAATATCAGGTACTGAATTTGATGGACGAAGTACATAACGAGAGTACAGTAGTTATCTTTTTTTTATAGTTCAGTCTGTATGTTTAAATCTATTTTGGCAAAACAAATACATTTTAAACTTATATGGGGCGAGATAATGCCAGTTCCACCATTTTCAACAACGAAAGCTCTTAATACAGTATTGTAGATCCACGGTTGTCCAAACATGATCTACTAGCACAATTTGTCCTAACCTCAGCAGACAATGGGCGGATTTTTATGATGGTAACATTTTCGAACATTAAATATTCCTCAAGTTATTTAAATGTGACCTCCCTTGCCAAATGACTGCCTGAGAAATACTGACAAATCAGAGGACAGTGACCCCAGCTTTCAATATGTGTTATTTATCAATATATACAGACCATATTACTTTAACTTTATAATGTGTTTTTTTCTTACAGGTACACGAGTTTGAGCAATGTCTCCCACACAAAGGCTTACAGAATACGAACCTACACGTACTGCTTCAGTATTCCGCCCAAATGTTCCAAGTACAAGATTGCCTATAAAACTTCTTTCAGAACCCAGGTATGTAACCACTGGTCTTAGCACATCTGTTATTATTTTAATGCTTGGCCTGGTCCCCTTCTTAGTTGCCCATCCATATACAATACAACATTTGTCCGGTTGTCAGGTGGTTTTTTTAATATCACCGAGAGTTGATAGACTTGGACGAAACTTGGTTAGAACTTGACCTAAACCAACCTAGCCTAAAGTAACCTACCTAACCTTGCCTAACTCACAAGAATTTTTTTTAGACACTGAATGGTTTCTTGTTTTCATCCATCTGTATAATAGATTTTAATTAACGTTTCCTCAAAGTTTTATCCAATTCTATCAACTCCTGGTGTTTGTCTAAAAAAAAAAAACTACATAACCGACAACCGGACAAATATCCACAGCACACAATATAACGCTTCGCCAGGTTTTGTATTTTAATTCTTCCAAACCTTTTAGCAGAATTACACAAGTTCTGCATCCATAATTAAGCAGTGTAGTTTTCTGGGTATTATATTTACCTGTACAGTATATGTGTAGGTACTGTCCTCTGTCTGCTGAAGGGTTAGTGAACAGTGTGCTCTAACCACACTGTTTATAATTAGCTGACAGATCTGTGGCATTGATTCACTCCCATTTTTTTTTCCTACCAAGGATGCAAGAATGAGAGACCTGTAAGGAAATGTTATAGTTGCGTAGTGTTTCATTTGTTACAATTATCTTCCATTTTCATCTTTACAGTAATTGTCTGCATCACACTAGGTAAAGTAAAGCATATAGTGTAGTGGGAAATGTATTGATTAATCTCTGTACAGTATTTTAATTGTTATTTTTTTATGAATTTAGGATTTTTTTGTTTTTAAAGAGGGACATTTTATACTGTATTGTACTACAGGTATTATGCAGGGATATGGTGTTGGAGGGTCCGACTAATTACCCAAATGTACCCAAATGTAGCCAAATATAGCCGGAATGAAGTCAAATAATGGTCTTAGATGAATAAATCGGACTACTAATCACTTCTCGACTTGTATTTGGTGTCACAAAGTCACAAAAAATTGGTAAACTTAATTTAATCTGAGTTAATAGATCGAGTGCATGTACCTAACCTAACCTCGACTAGTATTTGGTGTCACGAAGTCACAAAAAATTGGTAAACCTAATGTAATCTGAGTTAATAGATCAAGTGCATGTACCTAACCTAACCTAACCTAACATAACACAACTCAGATTAAATTAAGTTTACCATTTTTTTTTTTACTTTATGACACCAAATAATAATCGAGAAGTGATTCACAGCCCGAATTACGCTTGTACAACCATCATTTGACTTCATTGCAGCTACATTTGGGTACGTAATTCCTCGCTCCCTCGGTACATGCACGCGATCTATTAACTCAGATTAAAGTAAATTTTCCAATTTTTTGTGACTTTTTGACACCAAATACTAGTCGAGAAGTGATTAGCAGTCCGATTTATTCATGTAGGACCATTATTTGACTTCATTGCGGCTGTATTTGGGTACATTTGGGTAATTAGTCGGACGGGGTGTTGGATATTGTAGATCGGCTTTATATAGGAGTGGCTAATATGATGATTTTTTCCCCCATTTCATCAAGTAATCAAAATATTTATAGGTGAATGTACACAATGGGATGATGACTGCTTAAATTTTTGCAAATTTTACTTTTATGAATGAAAAATATTGTATTAGCATTGAAAATGTATTTTACAGAGCCAGACAAAAACTCGAACAGTAGATGTGTGTTGTTCGGGCTTCACCAGAGTACCGTCTGATGACCGGTGTATCCCTATCTGCTCAATGGACTGTATACATGGGGTGTGCATCAAACCTAATGAATGTCGTTGTGAGGCTGGCTACTCTGGGTCCAGCTGTGAGATAAGTAAGTTAATACAGTATAATTATTTTTACTACGTTGTTACTTTTTTCTTCTGATGCCTACATTAGTTGATAACCTCATTTTCTTATTTACTGTAAGTACTGTACTTCTAATTCATCTGATTTACATAATTTTCCAAATGATTGTTTTCCTAACATACTGAAGAAGATTTTTTTTTACTTTTAGTCAAGCCAAAGATGATTTAATGTTTCCTGATCACTAATTTACGCATTTAAAATTGTTCATTACCTTTGGATTGTAGATGACTTGGAGTTTGATAATGACCACATCACAGTTGAGAATGGTTTGAGCCCATGCTCTGGTCCAGATTGTTATTCTTGTGAGTAAAATATGGTTTTGCTGACACCCACCTCAACTCTTTTAGCTGCCACCAATGTACACCGACTAATATGCTACTTAGTATTAGTTCTTGCTAATGTTGTCAGAAGATTAATATGCAAGGCTCATTGTCTAATTATTTTTGAGACATCAAAATTGTGTGCAATAAACTTTTTTCTTTAATTAAATGAAAGATCTGGAAACAGTTGCCTATTGTGTCCTAATTATTTTTATCACTGAGAATTGGTGACTAAAAGAATCCTGGAAATTGCCAGTTACTGTATACCTGTAGTCCTGAAAAAAAAAAGGCTGTGTGCAATATGATTGATCTAAAATTTAAGAAAAAAGGCTGCCCAGTTCTTTCATTTAAATAAATTGCCAGTGTTACATCTTTGACATTCTTTATAACCACTGTACAATATCTTTGTATGTCCTTGTCTTGTCTGATGATATTAGCGTATCTAGAACGGTTGTCTTTAAATGGCTATGGTCTAGGTGGTGGTCCTCACATATGGTTTTTGTTTAAAGATGGGTGTTGATGGTTCTCATGTATGGGTTTTGGGTAAAGGTGGGTGTTGGTGATACATGTGGGTTCTTACAGGACTGGTCTTGTGACAAAAATTATACAGGTCAAACAAAACAATAATTATAAACAATTTATTTTTTGGATACAGTACAGAAACAATAAGAGCAAAGCAATGTCCTCCAGGCTTGTAGTGCTGTAGACTCTTCAATTTTAACTCAAAATGTAAACTGGCCCCATATTTCCAGGACTGCCACAGCAATAGGATATAACAAGGCCAGCCCTGGGTGCTTACGGAAATATGAAACCAAGAAACAATTTGTGCTTAAGGTGGTTAGCTTTAGCTGGATGTTGGGATATTTTGTTTTGTGTTATGTCCGTTTGTTGATGATCAGATATGTATTAATAAGGAATACTGTATAACTGAATGGTTAATATTTCTCACCTTCTTTCAGAGTTTAAATAATTTCTTTTATACGTACCAGCAAAGGGTTATATCAAAGTCAAATGGCCATCAATAACTACAGTATTGGAAATAAATATGCTTTACTTTGTAAATCTCACATTATTGTATAGAAACTGTAGCAAAGATAAAATTTACCATTTTTTATAACTTAGAAAAGTTACTGGATGTGGCTGGAAAAGTCGAGTATGATACGTTTTGAAAACAAAATAAAATTGATTGGGGCTGAACTGATTAAACCAATACAGTACAGTTACAGTGTTTAACTCATTCAGATAGCATCAACTACTTCTCAGCCACAGAGAGTATTCTTAAAGTTTATAATTGGGTACATGTCAAGTCATTATAGGTTTTAGCATTTAAGAAATCTGTTGGTATGAAGTTGCAGTTTTTATATTAGTTCAACTGAATATTGTTAAGCCAAATGACACTAATCACGGAGGCCTGATTGAAAAACTTTGTGGCAGCCCCATTGTAATCTTGTCTTGGTCTCTGTTTCTCCCATCCACATCCCATAATGTCACACTTCATTAGTAGATTCATAGTCTCTTGTTTTGGTTATCCATCCGAATTTCTTCCATAATATTATTGTTAATTAAACTGATGGATGAACATTAGTCATTCTCTTCTCGTTTTTACAGTTCTCATACATCCAATTGATTATAAAGATGTTTGAGTGTTGTTAGATTGGAACTAGTTCATCTTGACAGTTAATGGAAATAACTTTATTTAATATATTTACTCCTCTCTTAATTTTGTGTGGGGTGGATTAACATGCTCAAAAACCTCAAAGATGGTACTGTATATAGTCAGGGAGTTTTGGAAAGTACTTGTAGAGAGATATAAGAAAGGGTTGATATTAGTAGGCATACAGTACTCTCATCTTGTTCATACAAAGTGACTCCATAGCCTCCATACTGATTCACAAATGCTTCATGTCATATCACTGTGCCCACTAGGTAGAGTTGTCAGGTAGATTAATAACTTTGTTACAATTAAAGGAATTAAAAGGATTGATATGATGAAGAATGAAGTAGAGAAGTCCTTTTAAAAGTATTTGGATGAAAGCTTATGAATATTTAATTAGATTAAGGGAAGGAAGGGGAGAAGATTGCTTAAGAAATAGTTTGAGCTAATGCCAGAGTTGGTAAGGTCTAGGAATGTCGGTGAAGTGTGCCAGGGAGGGAATACAAGACTTAAGCACAGTAGAGAAGACTTTCTGAAGTGGATTAGAGAATGAACAGTCATAATGTTAAGTCTTCTCCACTAGTCAAGTGATTTACTGTAATCATGAGTGTTCAGTTTTTATCTCAATCTGAATTCACATGAGATCAGGATTAAACTTCCATTTTTATATACTGTACAGTACTCGACTGTATTTCCAATTTCTTGATTTGTGAGAATACCTTATTATAATTATTTAGAGAATATGAACTTGAGTGAATCAAGGGAGAGTCTTCGTTGCTCTTGATTGAGGCAACTTTAGTCCATATTGGGAAAAAGATTTGACGAGTGGTTTTTGAAACATGGTACAGTACTGTATACAGTGTTACTGTACCTCTTTAAAATGGGAATGTGATGTGATTGATATGACATTAGAAAAAGGATTATTTCGACTGTTGAATTACCATTTTCATCCCCTGGGTACAAAGTGACTTAGGCCATCTTGTGTGTGCATTTTTATATATATATATATTTTTTTTTTTCAATCTATTTTTCACAGTCCTCTTTCATTTTTTCTTGCGCATCATCATCCTTTTCTCCTTAATTTCCTCCAAAGGATGGCAAACAATCCTTGGAATCCTTACAGCATACAGTATGTATTATACTGTGTGCCTTTTCTGGTCACAAGATTAGGGTCTCCGTAATTTAGGAGGTTCACCAAGCTAAGTGGCCTTCTGCAGGTTGAGCAGACCTACGTTTTAATTGTGTACATAATGTGATTGCAATTTGTAATGTGTTTTGTGCTGTCTATATAATGTTGAACTCACAGTCTCCCTGTTTGTCTTTCTTGGCCCACAGCATTAAGGGGTAAGTCATTTGTTAATTGAATTATGGCTGATTTCCTCTTAGCTGTGTAGATGTATATGGCTGCAGTTGCAACCATGTTAAGTTTTAGCAATACTAATTTCAATAAATAAATTATTTCTTGATGCCTAGATGTTTCTTCTTGAAAATGTATTTGTCGCTATGGTTTTGAATGTGCTGCATCCAAAATTGCTACGATTTTTATTAACTTAGTGCCAAAGTTTGTGTTTGTTAATTATTACTTAAGTGAATAAATTAAATGTGAGCAATTATTTTTAAGTTCTTATAAGATAAAACTGCTTCAATCACAGTTAACAGGATAATTTTGCTAAAAATGTATTTTAAGGTGTTATCAGTTACATTAAGTATTTGCTCCATTGTTTATGATGTGACAATCCATTGTTGTGGATCTGCATGTGGTAGATGTTGTTGTTGTTGCCTATAGGTTAATGGTTTTATTACTCGGCCATTAACAACACAGTCCTTTAACGTTTGTCGGATAACATGACAGAAACGACAATAATGATGTAAACTTTGTAGTGATGATATAAGGTTGAATGCACTGTCTATTTTTTATTTTACCAAATATAGTCTGAAATCTGTCAATAAACTTAGATTAGTTGTGTGATGAGTGACCACACAAAATCTATAACCATTAATGAAGTTTATACTAGTGTTTGGCATCATAAGAATGGGTTTCACTCTCTTTAGTTTGGATAGAATGTTAGTGTTTATGTAGAGGTGGCCATTCACTTTGCGTTTGTCCTTCATGGATGACTCTACATGGTCTTGCAAAACTCTCCAAACACTTGCCACCTGTTTGCCACTCTGAAGTTAGCGAGGAATGTAGGAGTCAGTTCTCTCCTTCCATATTGCAAAGTTTAATTTTCAGAACTTATGTAAAACCTCTATCATAACTACAAATAAACATTTATATTCTTTAACCTAATAGAGAAGAATTGCCTCGTGCAAAATATAAGATTACTGTATTCTAATTTCGGTATTTCCAGCATAGTGCAGTATGTAGTAGTTGCCTTGTTATACTTTTTTCTAATGAAACACACTGGTACTTCTTGCTACAGTATTCATATTTTTGGGTGATTTATCAAGTACCATTGCTGACTGTCCATAATTCGCTCGATGTAATACTATCTTGTTTCTTTCTCAGATAAAAGAAAATATAAAAATGCAAATTTTCTAGATTTTTTATTAATTATTTTATGGAGAAGATGATCATGTTTCACAGAGTCTGGTGATGGTGTGAATGAGTGTGGGAGGGGGAAAGTGTGGTGAGATGAGGACATACAGAGGTGTGTGTGTGTGTGTGTGCATGTGCGTGCGTGTGTGCATGCGTGTGTGTGTGTGCGCGTGCGTGCGCTCCAGTTCACGAGATGTGCCTGTGGCCTCTTGACTTGCTCAAAAGCTGTAATATCTCTGTTTTATGTAAGATCTATCGAGAAAATCCCCAAAATATTTGTTCCAAGTGTACAACAAATTATAAAGGGGCATAAGTAAGGTCCTCCCACTAAGTGACTTAGCTCCACCCCATTAGTCGAGTGTAAACAGCTAAGCCAGTGACCTGTGTTGGTTCTGTGGTGTCTATATGTTTAGCTTACCAATAAGCATTATCCAAATTTTTAAAGGGGTAACTGCGGCTAACCTACACAAGCGTGGAAAATGGCCGTAAAACGATGACATACTGTAGGTGGCATTTTTTTGCCTACTGTTTCCCATGAGGACTGACGCGGTGTCTTCATCAGGATGAGTATAGATAGTGTGGCACTGGTGGGTCATAAGGGTCAAAGTGTCTTAACCACAATGTCCTAACCTGAGCTGGCTGTTTTGGTCATGATCGATATATTATGGCATTCAGTGGTGAGGAGCTGAACTTAATATTGTCTTGTACAATTCTACTCGAGAAACAAGCCCACACTACATTATCCATTCCTTCTCAATTTGAAAATTAGTGATGTCCAAAGTCTATAACAGGTTTTCAAATATCTGGCTTATCTCGTTTCATATGTTAGTCTTCACAAAATATCTGTCAGTTTGAATTTAAAAAAATAAAATAAAGGAAAGAAAAACAATTGACTGGCACCAATAACGTTTAAGAAATAATAAAATGGCTGGAGCAATCTTCTCGTTATCTCCTAAGTCACCTCTCCATCCATCTTGATCTCCCGCAACTGCTTCTGGCGTGTCTCCATCGTAGAGGATCCTGGACCATGTGTTCTGGGGTAACATCTGCATGCATCCAGTGCTGTATTCCCACCACATTTTTGTGCCAAAGAGATGCTAGCTTGCTTTGTTTAGCTCCTGGCTTCCAGCTACTCAGCATGACCAAAATTCACAACATGTGGTGGCCCATTGGGCAGAGCTCACTGAAACTCAATTGACAGGACAGAGACATAATGATACAGGCATTGAACACTTATCTCTATGGGGAACTTCTTTCTAGGATATGAACACCTCTTTTTTGAGGGGGGGTTGCTCTTGTTTTCTTTTTGTTTGGATTTCAATTTCTTGGCTGCTGCAGACAGACAATCCATGACAACTCTGAACTGCAGACCTATTGCACTATTGCAGTGAGTGCAAAAAAAGCCCATTTGGAGTCCACCATGTTCAGCTTCCTGGCTGTGGTGAGTGCAAGAAGAGCCCATCATGTGTTCCTCTTGGATGTGATGATCTGTAAGCACAGGGTGACAGTGTTGATGACTGCACCTCTGTTTCTCCTGCATACTTGGCTAGTGAAGGTAAGCCTGCAGAAGCTATTCTGACAACAATGCTGCCTCTAGCCCTTCTGATGTACTGCAACATTATGACAGCACTTGGCATTTCTGTATTGTCCATCGGTGAACTTTGTCAAGGGAACCAAATAACTGCCCATCTGGATTGGGTAATTATTCACCCTCGCTCTATTTTGTCTGGGTAGCTACACTTAGCATTCTAGCTCAAGGCATCAGGCTGGTGGTTGCCACATGGGTGTGCTCTGAACTGGAATCTCTTAGTGGTTTTGGTTAGATAACCGACATGCCACGACATCAAGCAGGTAGCTGGTACATCTGTGGGAGTATCTGTGAACATATTTTCTTTTATGTACACATGACCCTAATGAAATTCACTTTTGATATTAATTAACTTGTTACTTTTGTCCCTAACAGGCAGTCATGCCTAATGTGATAGCTTCAGGTGAACCATCAATTCACATACATCATCACTTACTGTGTTATATGTAATTTCAAAACAATACACTCGAGGATAACAAAACAATCCAGTTTCTTCATCGCTTAGTGCAACAAGCGGTAAGATCATTCATGTTAATTTTCAGTGTCGGATTATTCATCACAAATGCTTTATAAGTTTATAACAAGTGGCTAAAGTCAAAATGGTTTACTGAATGTTAATATTTGGCACTTAACAGTATTCATTACATACACCATGACTCAAAATTATAGTTATCAGTATTTCTCAATACAGTATTTATCAAAATTGTACAATGATTGCTACCTTGTTTATACATCTCATTTATTTTCAGTATCCATCTCAAATGTTGTGCAATAAATAGTAAAGGCACTAAGACAGGTTACATCAAAATTATCAATAGTATCTATCACTATTTATTAGTCGAAACATACATAATAATAGAATTGTTTTTTTTAATTAGCGGTGTTGACAGTCCGAACAATCACATGAGCTGGTAGCTTGCAATTAGGCAAAGACACCTCACTGCCTCCTTCAAATATAACAAAGTGGTCTTTGGTTTTCACTCAACTTAAATCAAATCGAGGAACAAAATAAACAAATAAAACATACTAAGATAGGGATTTATATACTGTAGTAATCATTTGTTACAGGGGCTAGTGATGGCATGAATAAGGTGTGTGTGCGCGTGCGTGCGTGTGTAAAGGTATGTTTGAGGGTCAGACGGGGTGACCCATTCCACACTAACTGCAAGATATGTTAATATGAGCACTGATTGAGAGACCTTGGATAATATCTCACTCACCAGACAGAATTAGAATCAGTTCATCATAAAAAATAAGAGTTTATTTCTCGGGTAATCAAAAATATTTCTAGGTCATTTCAGTTGACCTCATAAATTTTCCTCTATCATTGTACAGTAGTTGCATGTAGGGAGGGAATATGTTTAAACAATTATCTGGACACTTTATATAAAAATGAAAAGAATTAACATAGTTAAACACACAAACACCAGCTCACCAGAAGTGCTTGTTGCAGATTACCATAGTCTAGAAAACCTAGAAATCTTTATGTCCCAAGTGGAAACTCTTTAAAAAGGGGCATAAACTAGTGGCACTGACAGCATAATAGTTTGGCTTATTGATTAGTGATACCCAAACTGTTAGAGATAGGTTGTTTTCTTACACTACCCAAGAAGCAAGTGGGATTTTCTAATGCCGTTTCCCATGGGGACTGAGGACATGTACATTTCTTCAAGATCAAGTGTGTAGGTTCAGTGCGGCACTTGAAGTGTGTAGGTTTAGTGTGGCACTGGTGGGGCATTTGAATTGAAGTGTCTAACCACAACATTCTGTCCCAGCCTTGCTGTTTTGGTCATGGTCAGTATTTTATGACATTAAATGGTGAGGAGTTGAAACTTAATACAGTATTACTTTATACAGTTGTACTTAAAACAAGCCTACGTATACACTACACTGACCAAGATAAATGTGCAATGTGTTACTGCTTTTTACTGTAAACATTTAACTATAATATTTATCTTTTGATATAAATTATTATTTTTAATATTCTATAAACAGTGTTGTTATTACAGTATTTATTTTGTGTATAATGAATTTCATAGCATAATTTATATAAATTTCCTGTAGAGTATTTGGTCTCGGTTTCATTTAACATAAATTAAGATCGATAATTATTGGTCAATTTTAAATACGTAACCGATTTAAAATATTTCTGGTGACTGAATTTATAAAGTTTGAGTACTGTACTGTATTTATCTTATCATAAACATAACTCTTCCAGCTTGTCCAGAGGGAAAGTGGGGTGTGGACTGTAAATATGACTGTCCATGTCGACACGAAGGAAAATGTGACCCTTCCTACGGTAACTGTTCGTGTCATGCCGGGTGGATTGGTCCTTACTGTGAGGAAAAGTGTCAGGGTGGATACTATGGTGTGGTGAGTTACATCCTGGCTTCATCTTTAATTTTTCTTTATCTTCTGTTATTTGCCTGTTTTATCAGTCAGCCTTCTAGTGCATTTCCAGTACTTCATGTTAGTTCCCTTAATTTTGTTCCTAGCTATCTTCTCGAGGCTTTTTTTTTTTTCTTTGTCAAGTCAAGAACATACAGTACATACTTTACCTTCATAATCTATCATTCTTTCTCATACTGCTGTAATAATTCTGCTACAGTACTGGTGTGTGTGTCTTCCTCAGTAAGGCCTAAATATGTCCATCTATTTTATCACTCGCTTTACACAACCCAGCAGCACCTGTCGGCAGGAGGCCATCCCACAAAAGTTCCAAAAACTACTCGGTACTTTCTGGCCATTCCTGCATTCATATGTTTCCTTACTCATTGAACATCTCTCGAGAGACTTTAACCAAAAATTATCCTCCAATATCTCATTCTGTTTCTGCATACTGTATCCTGAGTCATTCTGAGAAGACTTTTTCTTGTCTCGAACGTACATTTACCAGAAACTACGAATACTCTTTTTTTTGGGGGGGGGAGAGGGCTCTATATGTACTGTACTGTCTATACACATCCACTCTAACTGCCACACTAGTTTAATTACCTTTCATCTTCATTTCAGTTTTAGTTTTCTTACTCAGTTTTGGATAATTGTGTTTTAAACTCGATATCACAAGAACCTCTTTTTTTTTCTTTTCTTTTTTTATGAATATACAAAAGCTTGCATTTTCTTTCTGACTGTTGTATATCCACTGCCTAAGTTTGTAAAGTCTTTGACAATCGGTGTAATTGATATGAAAAGAAATTAATGAATATTTTAAAAGGAAACCTAGACTGCTACAGCAAAAACTGGAAAAACAATTATTTGATTATTAAGACATACCTGCATTAATATTTGCATTGAAACTGCAGGACTGCAAGGATCGATGTCGGTGTCAGAATAGTGGAACTTGTGACCATATTTCTGGGGCCTGCCAATGCCCTCCAGGTTGGACTGGTCCTCTGTGTGAAAAATCTTGTCCTCTGGGAACTCATGGTACTGCCTGCAGGAACAAGTGCCAGTGCCAGAATGGAGGCCACTGTGATCCTGTAAGCGGGAAATGTCAATGTCCGTCGGGTTGGACCGTAAGTAGTAATACTGTACAGTAGTTGGTGTACTTGGTGTGAATAAATGTTGCTTCTAGGAATTAATGATATAAAGTTTTATTGGTTTAATCTCGTGTGCATGTAGGTGGACCAAAGTTATTTGTAAAACCTTGCGTGTCTTGTTTAAGTATAGTAAATGAATAAATTTTTTTACATCAGTAATGAAAACCTACATTAGTAAGTACAGTAGAATGTAATTTTGTTGTACAATAATTCATGATCACTTTAGCTTCTTAAAATTTCAGGGAGATGTTTGTGCCAACCCGTGTCTTCAGGGAACTTGGGGCCAAAACTGCTCAGAACTTTGTGACTGTTATAACTCTGCTACCTGTGATCACATAACTGGTCGCTGTAAGTGCACTTCTGGATATGTAGGGAATAAGGTAAGCACTGTTTATTAACTTGCTGCCTCTTTAGACCTGTAGTTCTGTGTCTTTAGATACTCTATCTGGTCATTGCAAGTGCCCTTCTGAAACAGTATTTCAGTATCTACACAATGCTAGGATACTCAGCATCATGATTACCATAAGTTTTGAGGCATTCCAAGAAAATTAGTGTGTACGCTGGGAGGAAGGAAGGCTGTCACTGCCTACAACACTCCTCACTGCCCATATCCCTACAGAACCTACAGCCACTCAGCTTGGTGAAAAATCACACCAGCTGTTTGATGATAGTTTCACTGAATAAAATAAAGTATTTTTTAGGGGTTTATTCCACATTTTATTTTTATTTTGTATGCAACACTAGACGTACAGAATACAACTCTGTAAACTGACTGTCATCAGTAGCCTTCATTGTGTTATCTTTCATTGTGTTATCTGTAGGCTACACAGTACAGTATGTTAACCCTTAGGCCCTGGGTGATGTTCCAAAACGTCCGACTATTTTCCTGCCTTTTTTTTTCACGATTTAACCCCACGTGGGGGGGGGGTTACTGCCAGCAGCACCCTAACCCGGGTTAATATCTGCCCGAGTACATCTGCTTTGAGGAGAAATACCAGGAATGGCCAAAAGTTCCTGAACATTATGTAGATCATAGCAAATGTTGAAACTGAAGGCCACTCATCTCGTTACAGTTTTCCATCCCTTTGAGGACAGAATCACCAACATTTTGGCTCATTCATTAATGATTGCAGACTTCAACAGCTCCTCGGTTACTGTAGGTTTTGTTTCCCTTTTCCCGTGTGATTTTATCAAGATTTATCTTATCCACGTTTTCATTTTGGATCTACATGAAATATATATATACAGGTATATATATATATATATATATATATATATATATATATATATATATATATATATATATATATATATATATATATATATATATATATATATATATATATATATATATATATATATATATATATATATATATATATATATATATATATATATATATATATATATATATATATATATATATATATATATATACTTATTTATTTATTTATATATATAATTTTTTTTTAAGGGATTAGCCCACCCGGGCACAGGTCACTGACCTACATCGGGGTCTGGGGGAGGCAAAATTTTAATAATAATAATAGTAATTCATAGTAAATAAAAAAATTTAATAAAAAAATACACAATTAAAAATAATGTAATAAAATAATAATTATAACAATAATAATAACACTAATAATAATGTTAATAAGAACGATAATAATAATAATAATAATAATAATAATAAAGAACCATAAGGAAATACAAAAATTAAAGAAAGGATCAAGAGTGAGAAACGATATATGTATGTTGTGTTGTCGGTGGTAAGAGAAACAATTGAGACCCTGCAATTGTGTGTATATGAGGCAGAAAGTCAGATCAGCAACCTGGGACTTGGTCACAATTTTAAAGCACATCTCAGAAGGAATCCTTTGGTGTGCCAATCTACCCATAATGGTAACACAAACCCGCAAGTGGAATTAGTCCGTTGATGGAGTCATATGTTATATTAAGTAATGAATCCATGTTTACTGATGACAGCCTATGAATAAGTTGTATTTTGTTAAGTTTTCCCCTTCTCATAAATGTATAAAACAAATGCTTATACTGTATGCACTGTAATTAATTCTTTCACTATGGGGGGACCACTTTTAATTTATTTTTTTTTTTTGGTCAATGCCAGATGATTTTATCCAGCTCATAGGGGAACCTGTACACAAGGGGTTAAAATTAAGCACTGCCAGTTAATTTGATAAGTTCTTGAAAGTTAATTTTATTTAAGTACAGTTATCTAAAATATACCCATTCAACATTCATATTTAATATTATTCCTCAGTGTCAAGAACAATGTCGTCTCGGTACATATGGAGTTAACTGTACAGAGAGTTGTAGCTGCCACAATGGAGCAACATGTTCTCACATAAGTGGCATCTGCTTCTGCAAGGATGGATGGCTGGGTAGTGACTGCTCTATCCCTGCGTGTCCTCCTAATCAGTTTGGTGCTGGATGTTCAAAAATATGTTCTTGTGAAAAAGATAATACCGACAGGTAAGACTTTATATATGTTGCTTTGACATTGTATTTAATTTTCATAAGTGATAATATACACAGATGCTTAACTAACCATATTGCATCTTAGAGTATTTTTCTGGATAAACCGCTTTTGATATACTGTACAGTACAGGGTAGTCTTACACTAAATATTCAACCAACATATTTTCTATTCTTGCATACACTGTACAGTAATGTAAAGAAAGTTGTTTGATATGGAGAAAGGTAAAGCTGCTTGGAAATCCTGTTCTTTGAGAGCATATAACACCGTGCACTGTCCTATATTGATAATTACTTGTTTATGTTCTCATGCTGAGGGATTCATCATCCTTCCAGTGTTGTTTCTCAATGTATACAAGTGTCCGTAGCTTCACTGTCACTGCCAGACTACCATGTAAGGTCCTTCTACAATTGGTTCAACTTAAAGTCAATGGCTGAATTTTCTAGAAGTTATTCTACACTATGACCAGCCTAAAAATTTGGAGAGAACAAAGTATCTTTGCTATACTGGGGTACAGTACTGGAAAATTTCACTAAAGTTTTTACTATAAGTTATTGTAACAGATTTTGAGTCATCTTAATCATATTTACCCTGCAGGTGTCATCCATGGACTGGGGAGTGTGAGTGCAAGGCAGGTTGGGCTGGAGAAACTTGTACACGTGCCTGTCCATTTTACAAGTTCGGAGAAAAGTGCGCCAAGAATTGTCAGTGCAAAAATGGTGCTTTTTGTGATCCAGTCAATGGTTCCTGTATATGTGCACCTGGTAAGATGAATATATTTATTTTGTTTTAAGGTTTAAATTCTTTTGTATTCGGACTAACCATATTGTTCTTGGTCCTTGGTGTGGAAGGGGAACACCATAGCAGAGTACATGAAGGATAATGAATGGTAGCAAATGAAGGGGTGGGGTCTCTTTTGATTCTAGTCTTTCTTTACCATAGCACAGAAAGGATTGGAAGTGTAGGAATTGTCATCATTAGTATACACATTGTAACAATACTCTCAACATAAATTTTTTTTACATGGCATCACTTAATATCCTTGATTTTGTGTGTGTATGTATTTTATATACAGTACATAGCTATGTACAATGTCAGTGTTGCACTGTCTGTCGCACTGCCATGGGGGTAGAGAAGTGGTGTCCGTGCTCTGCTATGGGAGGAGTGACTGTTCTCACACTACAATGGGACTAGTACTCTTGGTCTACTGCTGACTCTTGGATCCACATTATCCTTTCATTAATAACTGTTTGTCAGTTTTATGATTTTGCAAGACTTTTCCTTCACTAATGCTGTTATAATTTTCATTTTACTACAATATATTCTAATTGTCATACTTTCTTGTGTGGTCTTTCCTAATTTATTTATAAGCAAGTGGAAACTGCTTCATAAACATTTAAATTATTATAATTACTCAGCAAACATTCTAGTGTTACTGTTGAGATTTCCTTTAAAAACAGAGATAGTCATTCACTAAAATGAATACTACTTACTATACTGTGTAGAATTCATTAAAGATGTGATCCCACAGTGCATCTCAGAAGAGTTGTGCTATTGTTGCCTATACATTATTTTTCTGCATGTCTTTGAAACTTTACTTTGATTAGCTTTGTATGTATTACTGGTAATATTTTAAAGATTTCAAATTTGTAGGTTTGAGTTTTGATTTGGTATAATGGTGGTATTTGTGTGTTTATTGATCATCTATATTGGCAGGTTATCATGGAGAGCAGTGTGGCAAACACTGTCCTCAAAACAGATATGGGCAAAATTGTGAATTGAAGTGCCGCTGTGATCATTCCCTAGGCTGTTCACATGAGTCTGGGAAATGCATATGTGAACCAGGTAATTTCTAATGTTCTTCTAAAACAATTTTGTTTTACTTACTTTAGCCAGTTTTTGTAAATACTGTAGAATACATGTTTTCTTTACATTATGAAACTTAAGTGTGTTCTTAAGTGTTGACTACATTTCCTTAAGTAAATACAGGCAATGCTTAAGAAGACTATGAACTGAAGCCATATGGTTTCTACATTAATTATGTTGTTTAAACAGAAGTTAGAATGAATGGATGACATTAAATAGTTAGTGCATGTTTACTTATGATTCCAGCACTCTTGAGAAATAAATTAAATGGTCTGAAAGACTTATTAGAAAGTTGTTGTTATATACATTGGCAATAGTAAAAATAAAAGTATTGTTTGCTTTATGTAATTTTCAGGCTGGGAAGGTCAGCAGTGCTCTCTTACCTGTCCGCTGGGTACATATGGAGGCAATTGTACCAGGAAATGTGATTGTAGGAACAAGGGTTCATGTCACCCAGTAACTGGCAAGTGTTCTTGTGGCCCTGGACACACTGGCGAGAAATGTGAGAAGACCTGTGATCAGGGCTATCATGGCATGAGTTGTCAAAACTTCTGTGCTTGTGTTGGGCCAAATGTTGAGGGATGTGATCCTGAAACTGGGAGGTGTATATGTAAACCTGGCTTCCGAGGTAAGTTAAAATTTTCATTAATTGTTCATTATTATAAAGAAGTTTACTTTGTAGTGACTGATGACAATAAAAAATGCTGTTTTAAAATTTATAGGGAATGATTGTGCAATACAGCACCTGCTGTAATAAGCATAATTTTCTTTTTTCATTCATAATCTACTAAACTTGGCAAAATGTGATTTGGTGATTGAATAATCCACCTCATCCAGTTGAGAATAGTGTTGTTATAGATCGATTATGTAAATAAATTCAGCAATAATGCATTATTTACTGCAAATTTTTTTGAGAGAGTGGATTTATTTTCAGAATATCCCTGTTTAGATATTATAAACCTAATCTCTCCTCAAGATAACCGAAAACTTTGACTCATAGATATCCAGAAGTGTTGCATGGACTTGACATAATTCAGGTATCCCCAGGACCTGCCTTCAAAGACAATTTAATCTTTTGTAATTAACACACCTCCCATGAGGTCTTTCATGCTCTGTCCACTCAGATTTAGTATTTGCTGAACAGAGCAAAAGATTGATGTGGAATTGTCAATGAATTTGGCACTTTTGCTTCTGAAAATTAACTTGAAAATTTGGAATTTGTGAGAAGTTCAAACCTTCTGGCAATGTTCAGAGTTTGAAAAAGTGTTCCATTAATGGTGATGGTAACTCACCAGTCACAAGAATATGCTACATTTGTTTACATTATTGTCTAAGGGATCAGAGTCATAAGATAACTCCATCATGTATTCAGTTCAAAATATATAAAAAGGTTTATGACAAGAAAGCACTAAAAGCTAGATCAAAATATATGTTGAACATAATACTGCATAACTACAGCTTAATCCATATAATGTAGTGTCAGATGCATAATTTATATCTGATTTACAGTATGTGTTATAGTTTTGGAAATACATTAATATCCATGTTATTTTTAGTGATAAGATAAGTTAGAACAATTTAATTAGTATTGGGAATGCTGTTTTTGAGCCACAGACTGTTTATTTCCTCGGCAGGTGTCAGCTGTGAGTCCCACTGTCCTCGTGGATTCTATGGAGACTCTTGTACAAAGAAGTGCGACTGTAAAAATAATGGTTCGTGCAACTTACAGACAGGGAAATGTACATGTGAGCGAGGATGGCATGGTGCAGCCTGCAACACTCCCTGCAGAAATGAAAGATATGGAGTTAACTGCTACCAGATATGTCCATCATGTGTGCATGGTGTGTAGAGGATGCAGTGTACTCATGGCAGTACTTATATATTTTGAACATATGTATAGAAGCTTTTAAAATAAAACAAACTTATGTAGATGATTAATGACTGTTCCTTAATAGTCAAACGGATAGTGCGATGGGTTGTAGTTGAATATCCCAAAAAATCTACCAGTAGCATAATGTCAAGAGTTAATTGAAATACTAAAATATAAATTTTGTTCACAGGAAATGGCACCTGCCAGCCACAGTTAGGAAGCTGTGTTTGTGCAGCTGGTTGGCGAGGACCTCGCTGTGATCGCACGTGTTCCCCGGGTATGTGGGGAATTGCCTGTGCCAATGAATGCAGATGTCGTAATGGTGCCGAGTGTGATCATGAAACAGGTATAGTAAAAATAAGTAATCGAGTAATAACTGCTATGAATGTTTTAAAGCATTGTAAGGTTTTGGTTATTCTTTGACAGTTGCCAGTACTTACTGTAAAGAAATGATCCATATAAATACGGTTTGTCAAACCCACTTCTGTGTGTGTCCATCCCTCTTTAGTTCCATTTTTTTTGTCCATGAATCAATCTGTACATGTCACTCAGGCCTGAGGATTTTCCACTGATTGATGGTTGTCTGACTCTTATTGCCAGTTTGGTCATTTTTGTTCAGTGCAGATCTGGTGTAGAGGATTGGGATGGTGATGCCCAATCAGTTTGGATAATTAACACAGTAATCAAACCCACACAGATAATTAATTAAATGCATATTAGAAATAGGAGGAAAGAAGGAGTGTTTGCTTGACTTGGATACAAATGATTTCCTCACTCCCTTAAGGCCAGTGAAGGTATTAAAAGGGATCTGGGAACTTAGCTTGTGCCATCCTTTCCCAGCAATGATGAAATTTATGCCTTGGTCATATTACATGGGAGTGTTACTTATGCAGAGCCACAACAAACCCTGAAAACTTAGTATGTCCTCAGCACCAGTCTTGTTTCTTTCCCATAAATAAATTAATTTTAAAGAAAAAGTACCATTGAAAGATTTGCACATTCTCGTTCAAGATTCTTCAAACACTGCTGGAGACAGCTGGCAACTCAAGGCCGTTTGTTTACTATAGCATGTAGTAAAAATTATGAATGAATGTAAAAGTGATCTGTGATTAGTTCCCCGTTGCTTAATTAATGGTTGGGCTTTGTTGTTTCGTATTATATTATGCTACATACTATAGTAAACAAACGGCCTTGAGTTGCCAGTTGTCTCCAGCAGTGTTCGAAGGATCTTGAACGAGACTATACATTACAGGGTATATATATATATATATTATGTTATGATATATATCAGGAAGGTTGAACATGTGTGTTTTCTTGTAGGAGAGTGTCTATGTCTGCCAGGATGGAGAGGTGGTGACTGTTCCCAGCCATGCCCCCCTGGGACCTTTGGTTACAATTGCCTTCAAACTTGCCACTGCCGTAACCATGCCTCTTGCCGTGGGAGTGATGGATTTTGTGAATGTAAGCCGGGATGGATGGGACCTGGTTGCACCCAGAGTAAGTAGAGTAATATAAATCACAAGTATAGTTTACGTAACTAACTATTAGCATGAGCCAGTCATAGAGTATAATTATACTGTGTGTAGAAATTACCAAGTTTTTCTAAACTTCAACATGTTGAAATACATTTAATGAAGCTAGAGAAACAAATTTTAAGTTGTGACCATTTGTGTAATAGGGCTACTCCTTTTCCACAGACATGATTTTCAGTGGAATTACTTTTATGTAGATCCAATCATAGCTGGAAATGTATATAAATGGTCTTCATTTTTTCCCAAAACTTTTCCAACTTTAAAGTATGGAAACCAGAATCAAGAGCAAAAACGCCTTCCCTTCCTTCACTGTCATTCTTACTATTGCTGTAACAGATATGCTCTGCTATGATATTCCTCTCTGTCTGGTTGACCCTGACATATAAGTTGGATCAATGGGGCTCAATACTGTAATAAAGAGTGCTACTTTTGTCGATAGGAAGGTTTTGCTATTTGATGTCATTAATTTGAGAGATGAGATGTTTACCCCTTTTTTCATTTAACATCTAAGCTTTACAACGGGACTTTTTTTTTTCTTCCAAATGTGATCTGTCATCTCTGAAACTCGTTGACAATAAAAACAATAATTAGAATTGTTGGTGCTACACGGTGATGGTGTTTCAACTCGTTCCACATTTATTATTCCCAAGATTAATGTTATCCCTGACCATGTTTTTGTTTTTTTTTATTAAATACAAAAAATTAAACTGAAAAGAACAAAAATCACTATAATTAGAAAATTGAAGCTTAGAAGTGAGGATCACCAGCTTCAAGTTGTTCTACCAAGCTTATGATAACTTCCTTTTTTTTCTTATTTCGATGAAAAAACCATTTTGTCTCTCAGAAACAAATCTCAAAATCCAACAATCCAAAAAAAATATACAAATGTCTTTCTATAGCAAACCACTCACTACAAAGAGTGATCATTGTAATGAAATTAATGTAAAGGAGAGTTTGGTTGGTAGACTCTGGTTAAATCAGCTTCCCAGTTTGGCAGGAAAATGAAAGAATTACAAAATGCAGTTTGACATTCATAGCACATCCATGGAGGATCTGTGACTGTCATGGAGGAACATCACCAACACAAGACCAGGTGCATCGTTCTGTTCTTGGACATTTCATCACCGGTCCTGTATAAACGAAACCTAACCTAACCATAGCTTCATCGCCTCCAAAATAAAGGTATATTATCAAAATTTAATAAATATAACATGATATTCAACGGCCCGGTGATGAAACGTCTGTCCACCACAATATTCATAGCACTGGAAGGATAAAGACAGAACACCAGGATAAAAGTGTCTGATGTGATTTTCAAGTAATGTTTTTTCAGGGTGACTATGGGTAACTGGTCTGCTATTTTAGTCTATCAAGATTCTTAAATTAATTATTTTTTAGGAGTATCTGCTTTATTGTACAAGGTGTTCTAAATATTCCTATGCACCTGTAATAATTAAAAATACAGTTTAGTTGTTTACAGCAGTCTCTAGGTGACAAGTGATTGCCAGCTTGGTAATAAAACTATATGTTATACAGTACTGTAGTTTGAGTGGAACCATTGTATTCTTTTTTCAGCTTGTCCAGAAGGTTATTTTGGACGTCAGTGCTTGAATGTATGTAACTGTAGTACAGACAATTTCATCTGTCATCCAGTTGAAGGTTGCAAGTGCAGACATGGCTTTGAAGGTATGTGAAGTATGACTGTATAGTGATGTAACATGTATAGATTTTTTTGTTTTAGTAATTATTAAACCAGATACAGAACATTAGAAAGGGCATATTGTGTGTTCAGGTCTTTGTCATTTGCTGTAAAAGTTAAAACCCCATATTAATATTTCAAATGTTGTGTTACCATCAACATAAGGAAAGTTGGTGTACAAATTCCCAAAATATAAAAATGCTGTAAAATTGCTCATAGACTTAGTTTGTGTCTTTTGATAAGTGAGGTAGTTTTGTGCATTAGAAAGGTGGTGATGTTCTGTGCTGTGGTGGATGTTGATGTATTTGTACAATTTCTTTATTGTACATTATGATCTAGATAGTTTTATGCAGATGAATTTTTTTCAGATATTGCTTGGATCAGTATAAACACTTAACATGACCAGACCTCCTTACTGAAAGAAGAAAGCCTCTCAAAATTTGTAAACCAATTTTATTTAATTTCGTAGAAACTGTGGCTAAATATCTATTTAATTATAGTCACATGATGAGAATATGTTGCCATCTTGCAGGTAACATGTGTCACATTCCCATCACGAGTCCAATAATCAAGGACATGGAGCCAGTCCTGCCCATCACCTCAGGACCCAACAATGCTGGACTCATTGTTGGTGTTGTCACCATCATTCTCATCACCATTGTCATTGCTGTTACTATTTACTACAAGTAAGTTAGAATAAATCACATTACCTGTAGCTGTTTTGACTCTTGGCTGTCTTATGTTAAGTACCCAAAGGTGTATTCATTTTATTGCAAGGGACTGTTAATAAAATGGTTACCCAGCCCTTCACTTTGATAAGAAGTCAAATTTGGGACTCTTGGCTTTATCAATGTATTGTGTTCTATAGTTTTAGAGAATATATATATTGGCTGATCTCTATCCCTGCATTACCCTTCATATATTTCTTCAGTCTCATAGGTTGTAATTTTTTATGTTTTGCCCTTTACGAATTACAATTTTTTCCTCTTTTATACGCCTAAATACTCCTCTCTGCATTCTAATTTCTCGTCCCATTTTTTAACACATTGTAAGAAACAGTTCCTTGATAGTTTTACTGTATTAATAGGTAGTTTAGGAGATTCAGTTCAGTCATTGATAAGGAATTTGTCTTCAGTATATTGTACATGTATGACTGGAACTGTTCGGAAACTATTGCTACTCCTTATGCTGTACTGTAATACACTTTGGTTTGGTTACTGACTGGTGACTAAATAAGCTTAATGTTGGTCACTACAGGGACTAGCTCCACATGCATTTTTTCAGCAGCGTGAAATGTTTTGATTTTGTAAGTACACTATATATATATATATATATATATATATATATATATATATATATATATATATATATATATATATATATATATATATATATATATATATATATATATATATATATATATATATATATATATATATATATATATATATATATATATATATATATATATATATATATATATATATATATATATATATATATATATATAGTTGCTTTCCCCCGATTATAAGCAGCTGCAGTGCTAATTCCATATACTTGTACTGTACCTTCATCCCAGGTGGCTGTTAATGACTTCTTTTATATGGTTCTTGGTGAAATGATCCTAGTTGGAGTGGTTACTGTGCAACTCCTGAGGCATTTAGAATAGCACCAACATTCCTCATAACAAATAATGATGTCGGGTAATATGGACATGACTGCAACATGGTACATTCCTGTAACAGAACGAGGGCAGAAAATATGCAGTACAGCCTGAAAATTAAGCCAAGTTAAAATATTCAGAAATACGCCCTTGCTATTCTATATGCCTCTTGTTGTTTCTGTAACTTTTAATGAAATCTATACCAGTCCTTTATGTTTGGTCCTTAGACAGTTAACTTTGAAGTAATTCTTAACACCATTAAAAAATATTGGTTTTAACGGGTGACTGATCACATGGTATCCAATTGGGGCTCCAGTCCTGTTTGGTCCCAATCCAAATGATTAGATTAGGCTAAGACTTGGGCTCAATTGACTTAATTTCTTTTTGACATAGCTTAATATGAAAAGCTAATACATGTACTGTATACTTGTGCTCATTATAATTTAGTTACTGAATCATTAGCTTAGTTTCATTACATATGAAAGTGAATATGAAAAAAAATTTCAGACGCAGACTGATGCGATTGAAGCGAGAGTTGGCAGTGGTTCAATACATCGCTGATCCCGCAGCTTCAGGTAAGTTGATATATTTACTTGATTAAGTCTTTTCATAATTTACATGTATTAGTTGTGGATGTTTGTCAAGGGTGATTTTTCTGCTTTCAATTCCCCTATTGCTAACTTCTACTGATAATTCAGGGATCTCTGTAATATGTAAATTTAAAGAGTAGTTTTGTCCAATTAGGTGGTTGTAATACAGTGTATGTAAATTTAAAGAGTAGTTTTGTCCAATTAGGTGGTAAAGCTGAAGAATGGCTGGTATAACAGATAAAAAGATATATATATATTTATATATGTGTGTGTGTGTCGGGGCGGGTGGACCTAAGAATGACTTGAGAAAAATTATAAAGGGAGAATCAGTTTTTGATGAAGTTTGGGGTGTAAATAGATCTTCATATAGGAAGACCAGTGGGGGGGTTCAGAAGAAGAAAGGGATTTGTCTATGAAGTGTTTGGGTTAAGGAATATAAGTAGACAATATTTGAAGAATAAGAAGAATTTTATTATTGGCTTTTAGGGATCTTGTAAAGGCACAAACTTACCATTAAAGAAATAATAGTAGTGTTGTGAAAATACATTGCCTAAGTGGGTGTTGAGTGCATATCAGTTTTTGTAAGGAAATTGAAGCATTGTGTTAGTGTCATGGGAAGAAAGGACAGAGAAGACAACAAGAGTGATGGGAGTGAATATGAGCTTTGCTTGTTAGGGTTAAGGAGTACAGGTAGGAGGCGAGTTGGGAGCAGTTTTCACATTATACCTGTCACATTGATTATTTAATAGACAGTATAGATGTTAAGTGAAATGAACTTGGAAGAGCACAGTATGTAAGTTGCAAGGTGAGGAAAAGTGTGTGTGTGTGTGTGTGTGTGTGTGTGTGTGTGTCTGTGTGTGCACATGTGTGTGTGTGTGCGTGCGTGTGTGTGTGTGTGTGCGTGCGTGCGTGCGTGCGTGCGCGTGAAATATTCCTGTCATATGTTTCAGCCTTTTCTTGTACTTTTGTAGTCTTGCATCCCTACTCCCTGCCCCATATCATTTCAACTCATTCTTGACATTCCTGTACCCATTCCACCACACACACACACACACACACATACACACACACACACACACACACACACACACACACACACACACACACACACACACACACACACACACACACACACACACACACACACACACACACACACACACACACACACACACACACACACACACACACACACACACACACACACACACACTCTCACACACTCTCACACACACACACACACACAAAAATGAAAAGAAGAGTAAAGAAATGACAGTTTATTTTATGGAAACTTGATGAGGAATTTCTTACTCAAGAAAAACTAAAGGTAATGATAGTCATTGAAAAGTAGTGTAAGAAGAGTAAGTTTGTTTAGTCCTTGGAACTACCAGTAAGTTTTATGAGAACCCTGAAAATCAGTTAAATGGACTTTACTCTGTTGATGGACTCTCGTACAAAATTTAATAGAATGTAGATATAGCTGTTAATGTTAATAGTATTTATGTGCTCTTCTACTCTTTAAAAGAACATTTATGATTTTCTCAAGCGGATGATAAATACTGTTTGTTCTTGACTTAGTATTTATGTGCATAAATGCTGTTGCTCATTTTCAGTTACTACCCGTAACATGTAGGTGCTGCTTGGTTGTTGTAAGGTGATTTTCAGTCTCTTAATGCCTAACTAACAAAATCCAATCTTTCTTTGGGCACTATTGTAATGTAAATTTTTAAGGAATAGGAAGTACCCTGTAATAATGCATATATTCTATTAAATTTATTGGCAGGCTTATTAAAAAGAAATGGTTCATTGATAAGTTAGTGCATGAATGGTCGGGGATTTCTGGGATCTACTTGTGGGAATATCTTGTATACTCGTAGAAACTTTAGAACAAGGATTTGATACTGAGAGCCAGATGAAGTGGTGTGAAACAAAAGCATTATTAAGGAATTTACCCATGTGACTCATAGATAAATGAAGGTGATCAGTGTACCATACTGTATTATCTAAATTGCTTTAGTCTGTGCAGGAGCTTCCCCCTGAGAGGATGGCCCTAACACTGCCTTAGCAGAATTAAGATTCTGAATGAATTAACAGCCCTCTTTTGTCTTAAGTGATTTATTATTTTGCACGTATTCTCTGTGTCAGTCATTGTAATTTTTGTTAACCAATGAGAATTTGGGGAATGAACCAGAGGTTAGTTAACACCTTCACATGAGGGCTGTAAGCTCACACAGTTGTGTTTAAATGTTCACTTGTGATAAAGTTCCAAACTTGGCCGGTGTTCATCAGAGATTGTATAAATCTACCTTGATGATGATGATGATGATAATTCACAATCTTAATTAGGGATGTTCCAGGTTCATAAACTCCTTGCTTGTATTTGAATTATGATTGTTTGGGCTACAACACTTTGGTATAATGATTTAGCTTCCTGCAACCTGACCTGCTGTACAGTACTGTATGGGAAATCTTAGTAAAATTGGGGTCATGTAAGATGGTTCAGAACCTCAACCCCCATAAATATATTGCTCCTATGGAGAATTGCCGGTAGCTTTTGGGCTCCGAACAATTACCTCACGAACTGGTCCTTCATTCCCCAAGCAGGATGTTGCTGTAATGCAGGTGTATTATTTACGTGTAATATACATGCTCTATCATGGTTCCCATACTTCATGCACAAAAAATTTACCAATTAGCCCAAACCTTTGCTTTCAAGTATACATAACCTCACTCTGGAAAAATCCTACTTCTTACAACATAAGGATTAATTTAATAGCCCTTATTAAAGTTAAAGGGGATGTGTAATGCTTTCACGCTGCAAATTATTATGGCAGGACATTTTCTACTGTATTTTCCCCATTTTTATATATATTCTATTGCTAAGCTTTGTAGTAAACCTGCAAAACAATTCTTATGCATGACTTGGAGCAGAACTAGTTAACAATATGATTATAGTGGATAGGTGTGACATTAACCCTGCAAGACTCATTTGGTGTTACTTATGAAGATGTACACCTATGTGGTTCCAACAGCTTTGTGACTGTGTAGGAAGATTCTATTCTCACTCTCTCTTCTTGCACGCTTGCCCAATATAGAGAGACCCAAGGCAGTTGAGAGCAAAGAGAGCACAAAACTCCGTGCTGCAAATAAGCTCTCGCAGAAGTCTGGTGAGATTGTCCTCTTTCACTGTTTTGACTCTTCTGCTGTTGATTGTGTGGTATGCCTTAGTTTTTCCTTATGGTGGTGGATTTTTCTCTCTAGTTTTCATTTTATGTGCTTAAGGTAAAGTACCTGTACATGGTTTTTATTAATGTAAAGGCTTAGTTTTTAATTCTCTTGACGTGAATTTTTACGGTGTAGAGGTGACAATACCCACGGCATATGCCAATAGTATTTGTAATTATGAAATTGGATTCATTACAAATTGGTGTATTCCCTTCGACAAAGCTTTACATGCACACATTATTCACTCTGCTTGTATGCTTATGTCTTTACTATAATACCACATTTGAGATCTGTTTGATAATTTTAAGAAAGTGAATCACATAGGCCAGAATATAACACTCTAACTTGAGCATCTTATTTACTTTAAGGACAACCTGTAGCCAAAAGATGGAGTTCTATAGCAGGTACTGCACTTTTACAATTTTTTTTTATGTACGATAATTGATAGCTTACATTGAAGAGAGCAGCATATTACCCTTGAATGAGATATGATAGAATCAGCAATTTTGAATTTTTTCACAATTTGTCATCTAGGCATGTCTGTCTATCTACCTTTGGTCGTTATCTTGCACTGCATTGTTAACCTCCTTGAAAACTTATTATGTGATGATGCAACAACTGGATGAACTAGAATAAGAAGAAAGAGAAAGAATTTTCATTTAGAGGGTCTGAACTTCTCACCTGTTAGGTCTGTAAATGACAATGACAAATAAAATAATGAGATAGGAAACTGGTAGGTAAATGCTCAGAATGTTGATGATGTAAATTACACAATAGTTCTTTTGAAAATTTTGCATGTACTGTTTAGTGTCCCAGCATATTACCTTAAGGCTTTAAATTTTTGTATTGCCCATAAAAAGGTTTATAGCCGGGTAAAGGTAAATCTGTAAGTTAGCAATATAGGTAAATTCTTCAGCAACAAGTCTTGATGAACACCAAGGACAAATGTATTGAGCTATTTAATATTTTGTTAAAGGTTACTTTATAACTACTAAGGAATTAGTTATACTAGTAGCTGTATAATAATGGACCAAGCTGTATATACATACTGTACAGCCATCTTCTTGCAGAAAATACAATTAATCTTGACTTGATTTTGTGCCGATTAATTTGGAACTTGTTGGCTTGTTTTTGTGCCTATTAATTTGGAACTTGTTGGCTTTTACCTTAATCCAGTACTCCCAGACTGTTTTATTTGTTAGAAGAATATTGGATATTTCATAGAGTTTATAGGTTTAAAATTCATATAGCCTAAAGTTGTATATGCCAAGTTCATGTTTGGTCATATTTCTGTCAGTAATATAAGAATGGGCACAATTATACTTTATAGGCCTTACACAGTTACTTCTAAGAAGTGACATTTGTGCATTTTCTATATTTATGAAAATGTCAGGGGGTAAAAAATTATTAATTTGGGAGGGAGGGGAAATTTGCCCCCTTTATTTTCATAATTTATTTAATAAATAGTTGCTCACAAGTACAGTGTTCCACCCCTCTGTGGCCTTTTTGAACATGTAGCCAACAATTTTTTATTTATTTAATTTTTTCCTGTTAATATTTGTACTCGGAATTTGTGCTAAAGCGATATGATAGCTGTAATATCTGTAAAGAAGGTTCGAATATGATTCCAGTGATGCCACATGTTGGGAAAGGTCACCTAGGGGTGGAACACTATATACCTGTGAGCAACTGTACTTGGGTCTTGTAATGAGGTTCCTTTGTATACTGTTGGCCTTAAACAATGATGCAAATTGATTTCCGACACACAGAGGTCAAATGCCAAGAAAAATAGTTTTTGGTTATTCGTTTTTACTTGAAACTCTGTAAAAAGATGCCATGCTACAGCCCCCAAACAACACTACCATCTTTAAGTTGCCAGCAGTGTTTGTGACAGCACCAAGTATAAACTTCAATACCCTAAGCTTGACTAACACAGGAACTTGTTCACATGCATTCAAGAGCCTGTACATGCCCATTACTTAACATTATACAACAATAGTGACCACCCACCCAACTGGCTAGGTAACCTGACAAGTGGCAAAGGTGATAAAGTTTAAAGTGAAATAAAGGTTATTTAATTCTGTATGAGAGATTGATTATGTACTCTTGTCATAAAAGTAAGATACAGATAAAAGCATATGTGTTTCTCTTTACATGATTTGATATTTGTATTTTAATGTAGCTTTTAAATGAGGAGAGCACATCAGCTAGATTGAGCAAATGAGAAAGTGATATTGTTCTTGATTGTACTCATTGCAACCAATCTTGTTCTGAAGCAGGAAAGACTTGCAAGAATAAACAAAAATAAATGACACAGGCATGAATTTAGAAACTTTTAGTGCCAGACCTGATTCAAAATTGCTGATCCCTAAATATTCTTCTTGATCAGTTTTAGAATGTTAGGAAAAAAGAAGCTTATGTTCTTACATACAGTATTTGTAGAGTAGCTCAGACAGTACAGGTTGGTGCACACTCATGAAACTAGCACTTTCAGCTTTCTAGGAAAGTAGTAAATTATGTTTTACTTGAATTTTTAATTTTTTTATGACATCCATTTTGCACTTTAGGGATTTATCTGCACCATAGCTCATCAGAATGGGAGAGTGAACACCGCTTTGGATTATTTTACACGGAAGCATTGTTGGGAAAACCTTGCTAAGAATGTGTTGTCTTGTAGCGTATTAAATGAACTTTTGTATATCAAGCAGACCACAACATTTGATAAATGGTGATGGGTTTACTGTTGTTTAATAATTATGATAGATGGTTTTTTGTTTCACAAAAGCGCCAGCTCTTCTAAAGAATTCACTAGCGCTTGAAACACTATAAAGTCAAAGACCTGAGAATAAAAAAAATATTTTACCAAAGATTTTTTTTTTTAAGTGACAGTTCATATGTCCTTAAGTTGTAACACTTCCTAGACCTTGTAAATCTCCATTATAACATAGTTTTAAATAATTAAATTACCATTGATGAATGGAAGTACTGTAACCAAGTGTAAAATATATCGAGAAAATTAGCTTTATTAATATAGAGAGATTTGAGAGTTGAAATGTGTCATAATACTACTCTTACTGTACTTCATGGTTCTAATTATCCTCACCTAGACCATATGATTATTCAGCTGTAGCAGGAACTGTTGAATTTTGGTCTAATTTATCAGATGTAACGTACACAGCATTGAAAGTGAAAATGTGTTTAATAAATAGGTTCTGTGTACTTTGTTTGCCTGCATTTTACCCAAATATCTAATTACTAGCAGACAAGTAGCAATGATTTTAGAAATGATTAAGTTTGGTAGTTGTAACACCAAGGTCTTGACAGCAAGTTACCAAATAAAGGTTATGAGATCAGTTTCATCACCATTAATCAAGGTTGAGGTTTGCAGTATATGATATATTCAGTATTTTGAAGTAATGCATCATTCTTGTGTAAATCAGATAATATATAAGAAATGTTATCAGCTCTCCAAGGTTTAACTCAACCCATACATGCAAGTGATTTGCACCTTAGATAATTATGTAACACTTTCTTGTGTTACAATGGTGGTGGTGGTGGTGAGGGACCATGTACACCTTAAACTGTTCCTCCACAGATTTACTGCATCTGTAGTTAATTTTTGCATCTTGAGCATCCAAGTTCCAGCACTGCAAGTTCAAGGACATTGATGCAGCTCTTAGTCTGGTTGTGTTGCTTGTTGTGCCCAGGAACACTTGAGTGATTCCTGGTTAATGATATGGATATATTTGATTTTGGAAAACAATATTGTGAATGAGACTTCCTGAAGTGGCCTCTTGCTAAACATTCAATAGGTTGCTATTAAGCCAGCATGACTTGTGCCTTTATAATTAATACAGTACCTCATTAAATATTTATTTTAAACTGTTTAAAAAAATACTAATTATTCACAATATTTAAAGTTTGTTGGTAAGAATTAATTTTTATATGTTGTGTTTAAACTGAGAATCTTACTCCAAAATCGGTTTTCAGATCAACATCACTTTGACAATCCTGTATATGCCTACCAGTCTGTGAGTAAGTCACAACCCAACCTGCTGGAGAATGGCAATTTAAACAATGGTGTCACCATTAAGAATAATCTTTCAATCAAAGATGACAAGAACAGAGAGTGGGAGAAACTTGGCACCTTCACTTTTCATGATGATGCTTGTAGTTTAGGTGAGTACTTCTTTCAACTTAATAGTCACTCATTTAATATACAGTATGGAAAAAAATCTCTATTTACTCTTTGACATTAGAATCTTACTCATAACTTTACTGTCATGTTATGATAATATACTTGATCCTTAGTCACAGAAACCAGTGTTACAGTAAACCATCAAAAGTCCAGACATTTTGAAGGGAAGGGGGGTCCGGCCTTGCCCAATGTCCGAACTTGTATCAAATTCGGGTTCTGGGGACTACTGTGCAACTAAGTAGCCACTCATTAGCATCCCAATGACCCTTAAATGTGTATTTTAATGTGCAATAAATGTCAAGTGTGTTTCCTTTTACAATTTTACTTTATATATATATATATATATATATATATATATATATATATATATATATATATATATATATATATATATATATATATATATATATATATATATATATATATATATATATATATATATATATATATATATATATATATATATATATAATATATATATATATATATATACAATTAGGGGGATTCGCCAGGATTCGAACCCACGGCCCACTAGCCCATGACTGTGACCGGGGAACGCTAACCATTCATCCCCTCCCTGCTTGCAAGGGGGGGGGGGAAACTGTCTGTTGCTGCCATCGCATTTGTTTTCATTTATTCATTAATATATTTCAGGAGCTGTTGGGGGCCACTACGATGTGCCGTCAACACTTCAAAGACAAGCGCGCGTAAAGGCTTTAGAGGCAGATGCCACTAATCCCAATCTTAATATCTACCATTCCATTGAGAGTTTAAAGGACAATAGACTCGTGGAGCACGTTTATGATGAAATAAAACAACGACCTCCTCCTCCAAAAGATCCAGGTTTGTGCATTTCTTAACATTGTTCATTCATTTAAGTGTGACATGATTAATTCATCAGCGGTAACCGGTGTTAGTGCTGACTGTAAAGTACGGCAGAATTTGACATGCTAAATTATTTCCATACAGGTTCATAAGTTCTAATATTACAAAATATGTTAACTTTTTCTGCAAGCCATTGGTAAAAAAGCAGGTTAGTGCTTCAAAAAGCAATTTCATCCAGTAGCTCTAGCATTAATTCAGATGTTTGGAGGAAGTTAAGGTTTGCAATTTCACAAACCACAGGATCTCATATTAGAACATTTAACCAGAACCTGGCTGTTCCTTAGCTCACGTATATGCTTGTGTTACACCACAGCATAAGTTGATGGTGTATAGGGTTTTGGAGTGAGTGAGTTGATCTTCTTAGAAGTGAATAGGGTCTGGTTTTAGCATTTATAGATAAGTGATGCACATACAGTGTTGTAGAAAGACTGAATGTGAGGAGTATTGACAGACTGAATGAGTATTTCATGAAAATGGAATGACCCATAATTATTGTGCAAGAGAAAATAATATCAATAAAGGAAATGGGACACAATTTTTGTTGAACCTTCAACAGAATGGAACAAATTTCCAAACCTCAGAAAATTTTGATTATGAGCATTAATTCAAAATTTTACCTCTAGATTTCAGACATGAAACATTTCTTTATATTGAGAACAGAAAGTATTCATGTGGTGTTCTGCCAGGGGTGTCTGGACGATGCTTCCTTCCAGAAATATATAAACCTTGTTCACACATTACTGTCAACCATTACTCTGCCCAAGCTCAAATGTGTTTGTTTCTTAATTCTTTGTCCCACAATAGACAGATGTCTATTTATCATTGAGGTACCAAAGTTCATTGATGTCTACTCTTCATATGTTCCCATTTCTCTCCTTTACCAATAGCCCAGTGCCAACCTTAATCAAACCCTAACCTATGCTATGTTGCTGACATAAAGGGCAAATTAAGAGGCACTTTACTGGTACGGTACTGTCTTGTGTAAATGTGGTAGAATGAGATTATCATATACATAAGTGGTATTGGAGGGTTTAGTTATGAAATTGTTTGTTGTCATTCTTGTGAAAAATGACAGCTTAAATCCATAATTGAGTTTGTGAAAGTTGCTTCATTTTTCTTGCAAATTTATTACCCTATTTCAGTGTTACATACTTGACAACAAATGTAAGATTATAAAATTTCCTAAAGAAGGATTTACTTAAGACAGGCAGACATTATTTGTATAACCGCTTCTTAGTTAGATTATTGTTTTCCTTTTTTGGTACTGCATGCATGTCTTAACTTCTACACAGTGGAGTTTGTTGTGGTGCACAAGTCACAAGAAAACAGTACATATACTGTATGCTGTAACAATTCAGTTTCTTACTCAGTTGTTGCTTCATGGCAGTAATCAGACACACTCCCTTCCTTTTCTCTTGTAACAGATGTGTTCTGAACATCTTTGCAGAATGCATATGTTAATGGGTAGTTAACAAGAGTGAAGGGAGAATGTGTTCTTTTTGATTAGAAAGAAATATGAACTCCCATAATGTTGGGTTAATTAAACTATAACCTAACTTTGGTAATTGTATTGTCTACTTATGTTATATAAAAGTGATAATCTCATTGTGCACCACTGCAAGTCCACAACACCTGATGTTTTTGTTGAATTATCCATTAATTTTTAGCCCTCTTAAACCTAATAAGTGTTACATATTAGAGATGAAACTTGGTGTTCTAAAGCCAACCCAAACCCCAAAACATTTGGGTTTGGTCGGATACAAATTGACAGTTAAGGTTTTGGATTGCAACATATCTGATTGTTTTGTATTCAGGCACATCTCACGTTCAGAATCCTTCTGCACTGTTTTTAGGTGTCAAGTTAGTTGTTGGATTACTCATCAGCTGGCCTTAGACAGGTTTATGGCCAATTTCTCTGGTTTGACCTTTGGTGAGAAAAGAATTGGAATCATTTCATACATATGTATTATCATAATCATGATGATGTCATTGTCAGTTTAATGGAATATGTTTCAAAGTAATGCAACTTCATTAGGAAAAAAGTACAAAATGAATACTTTAGCAAAACCTTTTGGAATATTTATAAGTTTTTATTTTGGGCTTGAAATCACTTCACTTTAGTAACCCCCAAAGCACATGGTAACTAAACTGATATATCATCTGATATATCATTTTTAGCCAGACTACAGGACTTAATGAGTTATAATGGTTACTTTAGGAGCTTTCATTCAAATGTTAAATTTCTCTCTAATTTATCTTTTAGCCACAAATAAACACTTGTTTAAATGTAATATATATTGCCCAGATTTAATTCACCACCTTTAAAACAGTGTAAAAATACAAACGTCATGACTTTCTTAACCAAGAATTTCAGCCCGATATGCTTCTTTAGGCCTAGAAATTAAATAATAATAATAATTGGATTTTTCTCGGAGGCGCCTTTTTTTTTCTAAGCGACTTTTGTCAAGCCTCAAATTTCCTTTAAAAGATGAATTTTGGTGGGCCATTCTTTTTGGTCATCCAAGTACCAGTTCACCAGCTGTGTGCTTAGTGTATGTGCACTTGCATTATCTACCCTAGATCTGAACTGCAGTTAAGACATACTCATCCTGAACTTATCCAGACCATGAAGACAATAAAACCTCCATTTAACGGACACCAATCTTAACAGGTATAGTCCGTTATATGGAAGTTTCACATCTAACGGACTTCAATATAATATAGACTGTATTCTCCCACAGGCTCCGTTATATGGAGGTTTTATATGTAACGAGCCTCATTACAATGGACTACACTCCCCCCATATAGTCCATTAATCTGTAATAGCTAATCTGGACCAGAATCCATTCAGATGATTTTCAACCTCAATTCCAATAGTATTTTTATCAAATTGGATTCAGGTTCTGGACAATTTCTCACCTCTATTGTAATAAATAAATGGGTGGTTAGTATTAAACAAGTAGTTAATTAAAATACTGTAAAGTCATTTTAATTTCAAGTAAAATAGTTAGCATGATTCAAGCCTCTTACTAAAGAAAGAAAGTATAGTTTTTGGCCACTTCAGACACTTAAAGTTAGTTCCTTCACATTAAAGATACAATTCCTTTTAGCCCTGGGATTAACCTTATACTGTGCAGTACAGTACTTTGTTTTATGTTAGAGTAGTTGTGTGCCAGTATTCCTTTGATAAGAAGTCTGCATTTAATGATTAAAGGGATTACTAATTTTGTTTCTAGTCTTTTTATTTTGTCAATTAGTGTTGTATTGATGACTATGCCTAAGTCTTTAAATTGTGTTCTGATACTTGTATCTACTTTACTACTGCTCTATATAGAGCTTTTTATTCGTGTATATCCTTCTTTAGGAAGCTGCTCAATAAAAATGCTGGCTCCCAGTACAGTACAGTATTATTAAATTGCGATAATTTTAGATGATTTGGTGTTACTGCTTCCAACTGCCAATACAGTTCTTGAAGAAAGTTGAGAATGGGCAAGTTAGTGTTGATATTGTTGGGCTGTTTCCATTCTGTTTGGGGATAGCATTTTATTGATCCTTTGTCAATCACATGACATACTTTTTACAACTATTTAACAAAAAGTAAAGATGGAAAAAATGATGAATATCCAAGTTAAGAAAATACACCAAAGCTGCAATTCTCTTTATTCTCACAATGCATGAGGAACTAATTATTTTGTATTTTTCTTCATTAGGAAACTTTCTGTTCATTTGCAGTCTCATTGGGTTATTAGTTTGAGATGAATATGATAAAGGAATTGCATATAGTACATAGAGTTGATGAATGAAGTTATTTGCTGATAGTGTTGTGTATGGCTGCCATACTTGAATATTGTTTGCCACTCTTCAAAATTTGTTAACTACTGTTTTGCAAATTTAGTGATCCTAAACAATAATGACTTAAAATCCCACAAGAACCCTAAATTATTACGATACACAATACTTTAGGATGTGCAATAAACAGGAACCTAAAAAAAAAAGTAAGAATAAGTCTGATCACCTGATTCTGACTAACAAATTTTCTTCAGTGATAAGACTTTTTTTCCTACTAATCTTTAGGTTCCTATTTATTGCACATCCTAATATATAGTAATAATATAATAACCAATTAGGGTTCTTGAATAAAAGCATAAAAACCTATGTTTACTTGGTGTTCAGTTTCATAGTTTATAAAGTAATACTGTACATGTGACTGATTGGCAATATTGCTTGTTAGCTTGTGTGATTCAGTATTGAACAGTGTGAAGATGATCTATAGTACTGTCGTCAGAATATATATAAATAACACACCCCATGAGACTACTGTACCACCTTTGAATTATTTTTTTTTTTTTTTATGGTGATCCTTCTTAAGTGAATATCTGCCACCCAATATTCTACAGTGATAAAGATCTGAGAAGAATGTTATTTTCCTTGCCATAGTGACATGTTGGTTTCATTGTCCTGAGGAGACTGTGAATATGAAAACTAAGTGCAGTTTATACAGTGTAGTCTTTTAATTTTTATTTTTTTAGTTTTTTGAGTAATAAGTGTGTGTGTGTGTGTGTGCGTGCGTGCGTGCGTGTGCGTGCGTGCGTGCGTGCGTGCATGCGTGCGTGCGCCACTGAACATACTAAGGTACTCACTCTATCTTATTAGTGGCAGTTGGTCAAGAATGTGAACCTTTCAGACCAGAAGTAAACAATCATAGATATATTTTGGTTCTGATAGATGACTTAAGTAAATGATTTGTCCATAAGCTATGTACTTAGTATCTGCAGCTCATGGTCCTGTGGCAAGAGTGTGGTGAAAGGAAAATACATATGTATTACAACTGGGTAGCATTTATTTTTCTTCTCTAAAGCACAGAATTGGATTTATTTCCGTGAGTCTAGACACTTGCACAGTATTCTCTAATGTTGATATAAATTCCCCACAGATTTCAACAAAACTGCTGTAACTGG